GGATCTCACGGGGTCGACGGGGAGGAAGTGGGGGTAGGAAGCGGTTCATCCCTTCCATAGTCACCGGAAGCTCCTCATATCGGATGGTCCGGTGGAAGCGAGGGAAGTGATCGCCGCTGCGGGGAAGAGAACCGAGGTAGTCGCGATAGAAGGAGGAGAGGGTGCGCAGAAGCGCTGCTCGGAAGATATCATAGGGGCGGCCGGCGGGGATTGTTCCCGTGGTGATGCGGTAAACTTCTACTACGTTGCATTGCTCCCATGCAGCGCTGAACAAAAGAAAATGCCAGCAGAACGTGGGGGCAGCAGGGCAAAGGGATGCGTGGGGGTGGACGGTGGCGAGTTAGCGGGTAGAGAATAAGTCGCGGAAGAGATGGGGAAGGAAGGGATGGGCAGGGAAGGTGACGAGAGTGCGGATCTGCTCGAGGGTAAGGAAGTCAAGGTGTCGGCGGGACAGCGTGCGAGCACGAAGGCCTATCGCCCGCATCGGTACGTGGGCGAATTGGGGGACGGGTGGGGCTGGAGGAGGAGGAGGATCGGCTCTGTCTCCGTCGTGCGGTACTTGAGGTGGCGGCTGCAGGGTCGCCATCTTCGGGCTTTGGCGGCTCCGGATCCCTGGTCGGGTCGTTGCGGATGTGCAGGCTGGCTCCGCTGGCGAACTCCAGCTGTCGCTTCCCTGTGGCAATTTCTTCGCGCTTTCGGGCTGCTCCCGGATCTTCTGCCTCCGTTCCCGTGCGCGTCGCTTCCTCCGGCAAAGCTTCCCACTCAGACCCGGTTCCTTCTTCCTCCTCTTCTTCTCCACTCAACTTACCCTCGCTATATTCGCTATAGCTTCCCTCCTCCGATGTTTCCTCGTCTTCGTCCTCTTCGTCGTTGTCGTCGATCACCACTTCCTCCGCCCTCGGATAAAAGGCGTGAGGGATGATATCGTACGGCTTGAGATACTCCTGCCGTGACGGTAGCGTATCCTCGTCCCTCGGTTCCTCCAAGCACGCAGTCCACTGAAGGTACGGATCCAGTGCTCGCTCGAGAATATGCGGAGCAGGACTGTCGTCACTTTGCGAATACATGTCAGGCGAGAGATCGTCCGCCAATTGCACGATAGCCGCGATGAGCTCCTGCGCAATCAGTTGTCGGCGACCCGGCCGTACCGAGCCGAAGAGAAAGCCAAGAAGATCTCCTTCCACGTTAGTCCTCCAAGCCTGTATGATCAGCAGCTCCGGGTTCTCGATCCACGTGGGATGCTCGCTAGTGCCCGTCCACGTCACCTGTACTCGGGCCAGGCAGAAGGATTACTCGTCAAAAACTTCGCGCCACAGCCACCAATACCCAGGATTGATAAGTGGGACAGAAAGAGGTTCCAACGTGAAGGAAAGAGAGGGATGAAGATCGGATTGCCAGAAGGTGGGAAAAAGAGAGGGGAGACCGAAGATAGAGATAGGAGCGAGAGGATCGGCGTGGTTCATTGGAGACGTGGGAAGGGGACGAGGGTGGGGATCGCCACTGGCCGCTCGCGCGGAGATCGGCGGATGTCGCCGATATCTGGCGCAAAGGTCGGGATGAGGTTATGCCCAAGTCGGGCGAGAACGTGCTGCCACACGTTGGACACTTGCTCCGTCCACTCGCGCATCGATGCCAAAATCGCGGTATGCCGTTGCGGATTGACCGAGCTGATGTCGCCACTGAACGCTGCAACCGTGGTGACGTGGCTTGTCCTGGGAGCCTCTTGTCGATGAACTACAATTACCTCCGCAAATACTATTGCCTGAGGACTCCCTTCGATTCGAAACGGGGCTGCGGCACAAATGCCCGTGTCGCAGAAAAATTGCGCCAAACGCCGAAGATCCGTATTGAGCCGAGGGTGACAGACTTGCCGAATCTCTTAGATGTGAACGCGTGGCTGCAACAACTGTGCGTCAAGAGCCCGCTCCGTGATGAAACTCATGGCGAGGTTGGAGAGGAGGACGAAGGACAGGAGGGAGAGAGCGGAGAGAGAGTTAGATCGTCGTCGTTCTCCTCGCTTTCTGAGGAAGAAGAGGGAGGAAGATCAGAGGGAGGAAGCAGACGGAGGTAGGAAGTATGTCGGACGATGGGGACAAAGCTATGGCTGGCACTAGCCTCGGGCGCAATGCGCACCGTGTTGGCGCCGTTAAGTCCGAGCTCGACAACGTGAAAACAGCCAGAAAACTTGGGAGCGAGTTTCCGGTCGCGTGCACATTTACGTACCTGCACTAGGTCCCCTAATTTATACTGATGCTGGGGCCCAGCATTTCCATTCCGGGCCTCGTAGCTACGGACCTGTCTACCGTGGGCCAGTTCGGTCATCCTTTGCCTTTTTCGGGCTAGCTTCGGGACAGCCCGTTCCATTAATTCGGTGTACCTTTTGGCCTTGGCTTTGAGAGCTGCACGCGTGTCTCTACCCCCTGCTTCGGCAATTTCCGAGTTACCCCGGTAGTCGACACAGGGGAGGCTATTAGTTCGAAGCTGAAAGGGGGTAAACCCTATAGACTCGTGAGGGGTGGCCCGGTGGATCCCGACGATCTGATACACGATCTCGGGCCACGGACACGTGTCGTGTGCCGCTAAGTTCCTAGGAAGGGCGGTTTTAATCATACGGTTGACATTTTCGGCCAACCCATTTGACTAGGACACGTGGGGTGCCATATGTCGGAGCGTGACGCCCCTTCGCGCAAGTAGTTCTTCTACCTCACCTTTGAATTCAGATCCATTGTCGGTTATAATTTCTTCCGTATCTAGATGGGTATAGAGGAACCGTTCGATGTACGTGGCTATTTTTGCGGCCTTTTGGGTCTTACAGGGATAGACCAAGGTGAATTTTCGCCCGTACAGGTAAGCACGAAAGTGACTGATTCCCCAGAGAGCCGCATAGCATTCTCCCATCGGAGCGGCGTAGTTGCGCCTGCAGGCGTGCACTGATTTGGACGCATACTCCACCACACTCTCGAGTCCACTTGGTCCCACCTGGGCAAGGATCACCGAAATCGTCTCTGGCTGCCAGTCAGTGATGAGAACAAAAGGTTTTTCGGGATCCGGACTTATAAGGACCAGAGCCGAAATGAGAGCGGCCTTGAGTTTGGAAAACGCTTGATCGCACTCCGGCGTCCAGATCAACGGCTGATCCTTGCGCAGAAGATTTGTGAGGGGTCCCGCAATCGCCGCGAAGTCTTTGATAAATCTTCGGTAGTACGAGGCTAGGCTCAGAAAGGCGCGAACTTGCATGATAGTCGTAGGCACCGACGCATCCCTGACAGCTGCCACCTTCTGCGGCTTCGGTTGGAGTCCTTTGTCCGTCACCACGTGCCCTAGGAAGGAAATGGTGGTGAGGAAAAACTGACACTTCTCAAGCGCCACCTTGAAGCCCGCATCTCGTTACGCATGCAGTGCCCATTCGATGTGCTGCACGTGCCCTTCGTAGGAACTTGAATACACCAAGATGTCATCCATATACACAATCACGCAGTAGTTGATGATACTCTGCGTCAAACGAGTCTTCCTCACGAAATTATGAAAAGCCATGTTCATGGCCCGCTGAAAGGTCGCGGGGGCGTTGCAGATACCCATCGGATATCGAATCCACTGCCACGTACCTTCCAAAAGTAGGAACGCTATTTTCGGACGGTCTTCCTCCCGAACAAGAAGATGATGGAACCCATGGCGAACATCAAACTTGCTGAAAAATCGAGCACTCCCAATCGCATCCAACAACTCATCAATCCGGGGGAGAGGATGCACATCTTTGATCGTGATATCATTCAACTTTCGATAATCAATGCAAATGCGAATCCCTCCAGCCTTTTTAGGTACGTCACTGCAGGGAAAGACCATGGACCTACAGCGGGTTCGATCCATCCATTAGCTTCGAACTCCTTAATCCGTTGAAAAGCGGTCGCTCGTTGAGCTGGCGAGTATCGGTAGGGGGCGCAGCTAATGAGCGGATGATTTCCCGTGAGGATGACATGCTCAATCACATTAGTTAAGCCGATATCATTATCATGCATGCTCAGCACTTCTGCGTAACCATTTAATACACAAATTAACGACTTCCGAAGTTCCGTGGGAACGTGACTCGGGAGGGGGATTGTTGATTCCCCGGAAATCTTAAGGGGCATATCGACCCAATCAACCGGCCGTTTCCGCCGATCGCCGACACTAGAGAACACGGAACTACTGGTGCGAACAGAGAAGACAGTTGCTATCATCTGGGACTCGGCGGGGCTAATCATCTCAGTTTCTTTAGTTTCAGCGTCAGTCTCTGAACCAACCAAGGTCGGTTCCACAGTTAGCCCTGTTAGATCCATCATTTCTTGCATCAGATTAGGTACATCACTTACCGGTGCTTCCGCCTCTTGTTTAATCAAGGCGATGGTGGCTCCTGTCGTCAGTAACGATCGGGGCAGAAAAACAGAAACGTCCAAATACTGCTCTGTTTGTTGATAACCCGTTCGTAAGGAGAGAGCTCCCTCGTACAAGGTGCGAGGGGGTTCCAAATCATCAGCCAGATCGGAAACTTGTAATATGGGTTCCCCGAGAAGAACTGAAGGACTGACCTGGGTCGTCAGAGGCGTGCACGCGCTGTCTTCGACATCCACGTGAAAGCTTCGGGTGGTGTCGGGGCACACTTGAAATTCTTCGGGAATTTCTCGTTCGAATAGTTCGACCAAGTGCTTCCATTCATCGTTACTGGGCATGTCTTCTTCGTATTTTTGTTCCCTGATTTCATTAGCGATGTTCGAGGGGGAGCATTCCTCGGGATCAATGAATCGAATCATCCCGATTTGGGCCGAGTTAGGGATCCGTTTTCTCGTTCGGGTGAAAACTCGCAACGGAACAGTTTGAGGTTTTCCCCCAGTTTGTGTGAGCACCAGTTGCTTCGAATCGAAATGCAGACGTGCGCGCACCGCCATCGCCCAATGTAATCCTAACAACACAGAATAGGAACGTACATCTATTACGAGCGCGTTAACAAGGACGTGTACTCGTCCGACTTTTACAGCCACGTTCTCGATAATGCCTACGATTTTCATTGCTTCCTCGTCGGCAGAGACATAGTTGTCTTTGCCAGATTGAGGAAGAATAGATCCAAGTCGTTCCGTCTTTTTGACAGTATCCAATGATATGACCACTGCAGAAGATCCTGTGTCGAAAATGACATTAAACGGCTTGCCCCAAACTTCACAGTCACATTCCGCACTTTTCCATAGTATCGGCCGAGCTCGTACGAAGTGATCCTTTTCCACTAAAGAGATTGCTGCTATACGTGCAGCTTCGGGTTCAGGTTCTTTTGTGTCCGGCTCGGGGGGTACAACTTCCTCGCTTCCTTCCTTCTTCTTCAACATCCGTTGTATGCGTTGATAGGTGAAACGCTTTTGATTTTTCTGGCAATATTATAGAAGCTTATCGTTCACCACTTCAGATATGGTGAGGAGATGTCCCACTGGGATAGGAACGCGAATATCTAGTTGCTTGAGCGTTTTCAGTATATCAATGTCTCCTGTCCGAAACTGCGGTCCAGGATTGGATTCGAGATCGACCCACTCGAGATCATCTGGGACCGATCGGATTGCTTCGATCATGCCTGCGAGATGGAGATACTCGAGAGGATCGACCACGTCAGCAGCGTCGGAGGAAGAAGCTCCCGATGTCGATGCCGTTGCCATCGAAGGGGAAGGCTGCTCTGGGGCATATGCCACGAGTTCTCTTCCTTGATCCGTATCCATCAGAGCGGCCACTCGTCCTTGATTAAGGGCGACGGGGGCCGCAGCAGGGGGAGGCTGATTACATGTCGGCTGCGGACAGTCCCGGGCAAAATGCCCAGGCTGTTTGCAGTTAAAGCACTCGATCTTTCCTGCTGGATTAGTTAGATCAGGGAACTGAGGCGCGAACCCTGGAGCAGGCGGGGCAGGTAAGAGCGGAAATGATGCAAGGGCAGGCCGAGCAGGAGCCGAGTTAGGCTTAACGAGCCTGCTCATTATCTGTTCTATTTGTTCCATATGAGCGGCCTGCATTTGGATTAAGTTGCTCATCCATTCGGACTGCTTGGTAGTGGCCGTATGGATCATCTGGGCAAGGTGTAGGTTGGTTACCGTCGACGAGGGGGGTTCGGATGAGATTCCGCTTCTAACGGCTGCGATCGATTGATTCACCGGGGGAGGAGGAGGATAAGCAGTCGGGATATCGGAAACGATCCCGCCGGGAAGATCATGGTCGGGGTGGGGATAAAACCGTTCGACCGCCTGCAGCCATGATCGCCTTTTAGCCGTTACATCCCGTATGGTATCTGTAATATCTTCGTCTCCCTGACTGATATATTTTTTTTGTATCGGTCAGGTCTAGTTCCAATGCTTAAGCAATGATAGCCGATAACGGGTGTGTCTTTGGCGGAACCTTTTTCTGCAGTTTCCCTTTCAGGATCGGACTTCGAAGGTGATCAATGAACAGATCTCGAGCGGATTTTTCGTCTCGCCCGGATTTATCCAACGTGGTTTRAAATCGATCGACGAAATCGGGCAACAATTCCCCTGGTCCTTGKGGTCGATTTTTGAGTACATATCAGGCGGCATCTTCACTAACCGTATCAAATCGAGCCAAGAATGCTTGCTTGAAAGTATCCCAATCTACCCACGTATGTTTTCTAAACCAGTCGTGTGATGTGTTGCGAAGTAGCAATGTCAGAACGAGGGGGAGATCGGCTGCGCCGTAGTTCTGAGCTTCGACAGCTTCCAACCAAGCCTCGGGATGGGTATGGTTAGGGAAGAAGAGGAAGGGGGGAGGGATGCTAACGATCACCCTAGTACCGTCCACCATTGGTATTGCGGGTGCAGCCGCACCAGACTGAGACCTGGTTACTGGGCGATCCCGACGAGCTAGTTGAGGGCCTCTCCTACCTCTCGCCAGTTCGACTTACTATCATCAGAACCGATACGTGTCGGCTCCGATACCAACCTCACGCCCTGTGCTATCTTTCGTTCGGAGTGTTAGTCGTGCGGAAAGAGGCCCAGAAAAAACAGCAAAATGGGGTGTGCCAAGGATTTTTGGAAATTGAGTCCCGGGATACAGACAGAACTGAGATCCTTGTGTTGGTCCGATGAAGTAAGTCGATTGCTTTCGCGCATCGCGGAATGCGCGCGCGGGCAAGGCGCGAAGAGAGAAAAATCCAAATTCAATCCAAAAAGTATTGTCAGGCTTCCCACCGTGCTACGGCCCGTCGTTTAGAACGGAAAGGCTCGTGCACGCTTCGCGTGTCTCGTTTTCGTATGAAATCCCGTCGTCGTTCGCTGGTCAGTTCCGAGTCTGACGTGGATGGTCTCAGCCGCGTGGCTCTTTCTTTATGCTCGTCTTCACTCCGCACACGGTAGTGAAAACCCCTGGATTCGTAGCGCTCAAAACGCTGACATTCGGTGCATAGAGTGCGCGGCTAGTGGGGTTCTACTGCCGTCCACGGGATGACGATCAACTCATTGAATGGCAACATAATTGAATAAGGTGGGAAGTGTGTATCAATAATGACAAACCCGGCCTCCACGAATCCGGAACAACGGTTGGTCGGCGGGAAGTAATATTGCCCGTCGATTTGCGCGATAGCTTCTCGTACGTCCCAATCATATACACGTGTCCTTTCCTCGTTGAAGGGAAAAGGCCGTGTTGAGACGGGAGGTGCGAGAGGCTGGCGCCCGATCGGAGGGTACTTGCCAGTCCGCATATCAATCAATTGCAAGGACCTTGAGACGTCATTAAGAAAAGAAAACACTCTCGCAACTCACACTCTTTTCGACATGATAGAGAGAGAGAAAACACACACATCAGCTTGATCATGCATATGGCTAAGGGACCGACCCGTGACTCAGTTTTTAGTGAGCCAACATAACGTTGGTCCCCGGCGCCTTGTTTCTCAAGGCCGCCTGGTGGCTTGGCTGCTGATGCCGTGCACCATAAGGCAGATGGCATGCGCAGTGCATTCGAAACTACAGATCTAAACAGTCTTGCATTCTCGAACAAAATCCCGACGACAATCGTCTAATCAACACAAAAAGAGTCACGCGTCTCCATACATGCATTCACTGTGGAAGGTGCAAAAATGAGACATGCATAGGAAAAGATGGGTCRCATTACACAGTACACACGCATCYACTGTTCACAAGACAAGAAGACGGGGTCCCTGCGTAGGAGGATTACCSAGGAAACTAATGGAAGAGTTCCGGAAGAAGTTCTTTCAYACAAGGAGGACAYACAAATTTACTTCTATCAAAGAGAAGAAGAGAGGCAAAYGTCGGGRCACATCATTATTKCAAAGTAGAGAAGGGARAGAGGAGAGGGGGGGAGGGGGGGAGGGGGGGAATAGGGAGGAGAGTCAAGATAGGGGATGACCAGATCTGGAAGAGAGACATTYGGCGCARTSGCCGYACACTCACGCCAAAGATAAAGATCCGCAACCAAGGCGCATTCRCCGTTAATTCCAATATGGCCCTGGGCCAATCACTCACTCAACTCCAATCATCGATCCTCATACCCGCACCGACGATCCCGACCGTCGCGTGCTAACTCCCACCGTTGCGATCGTCACCCCGCTGTCGTAAACTCGACACGGTTCGCCCGGATCCCACAGTCYGTCGTGGCGATCAAGCGCGCAACYGGCCAGCCTATCGTCAGCCCGACAGGACTTTCYGACTCGCATCMAAACACTCTGCSTASCCAYTGCTTCCCAGAAGCTGGCCTAGGAGTCGAGAACGTAAGAGAGAATTGCGGACGCGCTTGCGGGTTTTATAGTTGCGACAAGGGAGGTAGAAGGGGGAGAAAGTGAAGGGAAAGCTAAGGGGTGAAAGGAGGAGTAGGAGGAGAAGACTTTGAGAAGAGTGCTCTGTGAACGCCATGTTGATCCCTCGGAACTCGAGGTTCAACCAATCAGATTCGTCGCGCAATAGGAACTGTCTCTTATACACATCTAGATGTGTATAAGAGACAGGGAGGAGAAGACTTTGAGAAGAGTGCTYTGTGAACGCCATGTTKATCCCTCGGAACTCGARGTTCAACCAATCAGATTCGTCGCSCAATAGGAAGGTCCTATTGCTCCACGCACCTGATTGGCGAACGGGAGTTGTCGATGGATCGACCGGGCGTCRTGCGCCGGACTCAGARGGTGAGAAGAGAAAAGGCRCRAGAAGTAGCGCAAAACGGGTCCAAGATTCAGATGATCAAGAAGGGAAATGGGCGTGCAAAAAGCAAGGCGGGAGAGAGAGAGAGAGAAGGAAAACAGTTACAGGGAGAGAGAAAAAGGAGGGAGAAGAGAAAGGAGGCGCGGGAGGGAGCGATGCGGGGGACAGAGCGGAGAAAGCTTGCATACGCGGCGCCGTCAACAAAAAGAGAGAAAAAGGCACCGAAACAGTTACAGCTTGCTTCTATCCTAATTCAAAATTGAAATTATCATATCCGCGCGCGAAAAAGCGACGCAGGAAAAGAAAATCCTACGCCTATTCGTATTCACGCAAAATTCCGAGAGTTTTCCCCGACGCGACCAAGAACATTCACACATACGAAAAGGACACGTCGAAGTTCCGCTTATCCCGGAATTCCCAACTGCCGAGCCTAATTCCTCGTGCGCTCGCTAAGGCGCACGTAAATTCCCATGTATTTCCCGACTTGCAAAAAGGAAAAACAGAACCCAGAAATCGAAAAAAGCTTCCAGAAAAAGGAAATGTGGCATCCGAAAACAAGAAAACGAAAGGGGTTTTAATGGGGTTGGTATGATTCACAAACAGGGGTACGAAAGATAGCATGGGTTCGGGAAGCAGCTCGTCACACCCATACTTACCCTTCTCCCGCCTCGCTTCCTTGCGTCGTTGCCGATCGCGTCGCCTTGCATCTTTGCCCACCGGGTCGCCTAGCTCTCCGGCAGGTTGCGCGTCGCGTCGCTTTGTCTCCAAAGTTGCTCCAGTGGGGGCGCAGCGCTCCCGGTCGCGCTGTGCCCCCAGCAGGATGCAGACTCATTCTCTATCTGACCTCGGACCAACTGGCTATCTCTAGGTGGCGGGCGTTAAGCATGCCCAGGAAGGTACATGTGGCCAATGGGGATTGAACCCAAGCCCTCCTGAATGCCACTTGCGTGCCTTACCAACTGAGCTAGGCCACGGTCAGAGCTTGGTTTCCCTTTTCACCTCTTTTTCTTTTTTTTTCCCTTTGTTGAGAAGAAGATCCTTGGCAGTTTGTAATCTGACTCCCCTTTGGATAGGGGGAGCATTTAATGCCTGCCAGCCCTTTGGGTTTCAGGGCTCCAGTGTAACCTTGCCACTCTGGCTGCACTGCTGTGCCAGACTCAATGAATGTGAGGGCAATCAAGTTCAGAGCTTGGTTTCCCTATTCACCTTTTTTTTTTTTTTTTCATTTTTTGGAAGAAGATTCTTGACAGTTTACAATCTGACTCCGCATGGGAGACGGGGAGCAACCTGCCGGCCAGCTCTTTCCAGTATGTGGCAAGGACCCCACAGGAGAGCGGAAAAGAAAAACTTTGCCGCAAAACTGTTTCCAGGACCCCACAGCCTGCCTCAAATGTCCTGGAAAAGGTGAAATTTCTTCCACAAACCCTTTTCGAGGACCCAACAGACCGAAGATTGGGGCTTGGAAAAATATCAATTTGTGTTTTCACATAGTCCGCGGCCTGGAAAAGTCTCACGGGAGGATTCCTCCCCCCAATTTTGTGCTGACTGTAGAGCGTAGGGGGGAGGGCATGTCTTCCCTGGAAAAGTCTCGGAAAAGGCAGCAGCCAATAGAGGAAGAGAAAAAAAGAGAAAAAAAAGAAAAAAAAAAGAGAAAAAAAAAGAGAGAAAAAAAAAATAGAGATGAAGAGTGCCACAGAAAAAAAACAAAAAAAAAAGGAAAAAAGAATAAAACAGACGAGTGCCAACCGAAACAGGCAACCATACTACACCAATTTTCAAAGGGTTTTCCAAGAGCATTTGGTCCTCTGCGATGGGGTCCCGGAAAAAGTACTGTCTGACTTTCCAAAATAACTTGCCGGCTTTTCGTGGAAGCTGTGGGGTTCTTGCCTGTATCTGGCTGCACTTGTGGCGAGGCTTGCGGTGCTGCCTGAGTGGAAACAAGAAAAAGACGGTCCGTTTACGTTCCATCTGCTGGCAGCAGGTCCAGCATAAGGGGCGGTACCTGCTTGAAGCGACAAATGTCCCATATTGTTTCCCTTTCTCTGCAGGCTCGGCAAACGGCTTGAAGCAACAAATGTCCCATGCTCGGCAAACTGCTTGAAGCAACAAATGTCCCATATTGTTTCCCTTTCTCTGCAGGCTCGACAAAAATCGGCGCTCAGGGCATATTCAGGCTCGGCTTCAATAGCTGGGCCAATATTCTTCAGTTCTCCGTTAAAGAACTCGTCCTTGCCCAGAGGACAGTGCCTGCGTGCTTCATGGCTTGCCTGTCAGTTTTATTGTGCTGGTTCGAAGCCTGTGCCCTCGCGGTAAGACATTGTTCCAAGCGCAAGGAAGTTCCCAGCGACCCTGATATGGTTGTGTTATTTTCTCTGCGCTTGCTTTTTGCATACTTGAGTCCTATCCCGTTGTTCTGGAGTTGTTTTTTTTTTTTTTTTTTTTTTGGAAACCACCAGTACCTCGGAGCCTGTTTTTGCCGACCCTGATTTTCACTGCGCTCCGAGTTTTGCCGAGCCTGGGTCCCACTCCATTTCTTTATGGTACTCTCACGGGAAGAACAAACCAAAAAAAAAAAAAAAAAAAAGTTGCGGCTGTGGAAACTCACAAAACAAGAAAAAAAAACAAAGCTCTGGACGTGATTGTAGCTGTATACATTCCCGGAAGTGTTAGTGTGAGTGTGCCCTCAGTGAGGGCATCTCAGCCTGGTGGCCAGGTTGTCAGATTCCAGAAACTCAAAAAAAAAAAAAAGACAGGACCAGGGATTCGGCCGTGAAAATGGCAAGATACAGTGCCAGTGTGCTCAAGGTTACAATCCTCTGAGGGAACACAGCTAGAGCAGATCACGGATTCAGATTGTCAGATTCCAGAAAAAGAAAACAAGAAAAAAAAAAGGGAAACACGGATTCGGCCTTGAAAACGGCTGGATACATCAGGGTGACAATCATCTGAGGAAACACAGCAGATCACGGGTTCCGCCCTGCCTCGTTGGCAGGGGGCACATGACAAACAGAAGAGAAATAAAAGAAAAGAAAACAACAAGTTCAGAATGTGACCGTCTTTGTTGTAAGATGCATTCAACACTGTGAGCACGGCCTCCTAGACTACCCTGCCCAACATTATTGCAGTACAAAGACCTTTTTTTTTCCATTTTTCTTTCGTGCATGGGCAAAAGAAAACTACGATTTTTGGGACATCGCTGCCCCTGTGTCCGACCCCCGAAAACTTCGGGTACTGGCCAGGACAACGTAATTTCCCAACACTGGCGGAGGTACTTTTATACTAAACTTTGAGACGAGGCCGGGGACCTCACAATTCAACCCGGAGTTTTCCTGGCAGCCTCAGCCAGTTTCGCTTACAAATCAAGCTCGACAAACAGGCTAACTGTTTTATTTTCCTCTGTCTAACTCAAGCTACTGGGGTGTGGTTCCATTAGCAGTCGGATAGGAATGTGGCCGATCCAGTGTGACACTGAGTGGCAGCGGCCAGACACGTTCATTACGAATTTCTGGGCTGAAAAAACAGGAAAAAGGCCGAAAAAAAAAAAAGAGTGCTTCCCAGCCGGTGGTTGCAAAAACGGTGAACAAAGTAAAAGCCACATTTTTTTGGAACAAAATAGACTTCTGTCAGAAGTGATCCTGACACCCTCCATATACTTCGTGATTGAAGGAGGGCTCCACACAATGAGATAATTGCACAACAGCAACCAAAATACTGAAAATCTTCTATCCGGTGGGCCCATGGCCTACCCCACTCTCTTTTGGGGTTGGCCATGCCCCAACGGATTGAAAAGATTTTGGCGGGAAGCTTCCTTCATGCCCAGTCTTAAGGAGAGGAGGAGGGGAACGAAGATCTCCTTACTCTTTGGGGTAATACATGTAAAATACTGACCGTGGGATCACGAGTACTGCACGGCAGGATTAGGGTCACTCAAATGCCACACAAACTCTTTTCTATCCTATCGGGTTGCTAGTGGGACCATGCCCCTGGAAACCGGGTCCAGCGTCCCAAATGTATGTACTTTCCAAAAAGTCATACTTTGAAGCACAATGAAAATGGTGAGCTTTCCTGATGAGTCACAGCTGCAGCTTGGGGTAGACCTTACAGATGCAGATTCTCCCTGAAGCCTATTGGCACTACCGCAAGCCACCTGTATACTTTTGTTCTTCTTTCGTAGATTTAACCTTTCAAAACCAAGACCCAGTATCTGCCTGCAGCTTCGACTTCATTGTACCCAAAGAAAAGAGAGAGGGGGAAGGGGGGAGAGAGGAGGAAGAGACTCTCTACTTCGAGAGCTTGCTTGAAAAAAAGGGGGGGGGACCCAGTTCTGGCGTTGTTGCGTCTTTGTTCGAGCGGTTTATTCCGGTCTGATAATTATTAGTAATCAAGCCATCCTCCTGTTACCGAGCTCGAGTGGGCGCGGGCGCGCACGACTCGGAGGAAGAAGATGGCTGAGCATCCATGGCCAGTGTTAGATTATCTATGGCACGCTCATGGTGCCGGTTTGACTGGCTGCCAAAGCTTTCGCATGGCCTCCCTCTCCCGCTATTTCCTACTCCAATCCCTTGCTAGTGTTCTGCTGCTGGCCACGATTTCTATGCGCGCCACTGGCGAGCGACCGGTCCCTGGCCAATGGTCTTCGGCTGCCAATGCTGCAGAGCCGGGAGACAGCCGAGCACGTCTCCTCGCCCTGCAGGTCCGGCGCAATATGGCGATGGTGTCCACCGCGCCGCCTTCCTCGCCACCAGTTCTTGAGCCGGAAGTAACCATGACACTGCTAAAGCCCGAGCTCTTCCTACCCAGAAACCGGAGCGTAGTGCCTCCCATAGTCGTTCATACCCCTTCTCCGGACTTTCAGACCACCGCTCGTGGGTGGGCGTGCGCATCTCTCATTCGCGACTTCACGTTTCATCCTACCGATGATACCCAGATGTACTTCATTCTTGACGAGTTCTGTGTAAGAAGAGATGAAGATGGAGTTGTAAGTCGGCGGTTTTCGATCCGAAAAGCCGATCTTGCGCGGGCGCGCCAAGGTTTCAAAAATAGCTCGGTACTCAGCTATTGGTGGCCGTATGGCGCAGGGAGCGGCCTGAGCGAAACATCTGACTTTGTGTGGAAGAAGAATATAACTGACAACATATCAATGGCGCTCATGTTTGGTCTCGACGTGAACAGAAAAGGAGACCAGCTGGTCACAGCGGCAACACCGAGGATTGGGACTCAGTCCAGTATCGTCTGGGTTTCCACGGCGACTGGCAATCGAACGAGCGTGGCCATAAATGCGGACGCCGTATGGAGCGTGGCATTCAATCCGAAGAAGACGGAACTGTTCGTCTCAGACATCGCCCGACCCGTTCGGATTCTGTCGATGGCGGTCGCAGAGTCCGGGAGGCTGGACGCCGGCCCGGGATGGAACGAAGTCTGTAATTTCTCCAGCGGCGATCCCAACGTTTCATTCGCTGGATTCGACTCAAGTAGCTTTCTGCCGGACGAGAGCTGCCTTTATTTCACCGATAACAATTATAACCGGGTTTGGGCAATAGATCTTAGCTCCCCGTCCCCGAGTGCCGCTCTTGTGGCCGGATCTGGCTACAGCGGGTCCGTCGATGGCGATGGTCCCAAATCTCAGTTCAATTCCGTGGCGAGCGCAGTAGCGACACCGGACGGATGTAACGTCTTTGTTACCGAGCTTGGGAGCGGTTTTCTTCGGTGGCTGAAGCTGGACGCGCCCTGCAGCTCGGCCACCAGCGTACAGAAGGTCGCCAGATACAGTGCCGGCGCGTTGTGGGGATTGGCGCTTCGGCAATCCGGGGGCCAACTAAGTCTGTACGTCGGAGCGTCCGATGGTTCCGTGTTCGAGCTGACAATCAACAATTCGCAGCTCCACTCTTGCGCGCCTACTCCTCCCCCGCTCGTCCCGTCCTCCTCCCCACCTCCCTCGGATATGCCTTCATCTTCTGGGCCCTCGCCTTCAGGATCTTCGCCGCTTCCCCCCAGCTCCCGAGGAACTAATTTAGGTCTCGCGGTCGGGGTGCCCGTGTCGATCTCAGCCTTCCTGGCGCTTGCGACGTGCCTTAGTGTCCTTGTGTACAGAGCGCGCCGGAATGGATTGAAACAGCCAACGGTCGAGATTGGACGGCGCAGCAACTTCCCAACGCAGGGGGGTGAAGGTGGGGGACTTCAACCCTTGCAAGTCAGACGATTCTTGCTGGCAGCTCTGCAGCATTGCACAGAAAATTTCAGCACGAACTACCGTATCGGGGACAGTGGAGCGTTCGGAGATGTCTACTGGGGCTCGATCGACGATCAGGATTTGGCCATCAAGTTGATGACGGGGAATCTGACGGAGGAAAAGAGAAGAATGTTCGTGGCAGAAGTGAACACGTTGAGCAGACTCCATCATGCCAACCTTATCAGACTGGTGGGATTCTGTGACGAGGGGAGTCGGTCGATCTTGGTGTACCCGTATTTCCCGGGGGGAAGTCTGTACGCTCGCCTGCACCACAGGGAAAAGGCAGTTCCTGGAAGGCCTCTTCTCCCTCCTCTGACATTCGTTGAGCGGATGTGTATCGCCTGGCAGATTGCCAGGGGGCTCAGTTACCTTCACGGTGGAGCTGACCCGCCAATCATTCACCGTGACATCAAGAGCAGCAACGTCCTTCTTGGTGATGGCGCTGGGGAGAAGCTGCGCGTTGTGCTCGCGGATTTCGGACTAGCGACCATCGGAGAGAGAATGTTTGGCGGGACAACACGGGACACCGCGGTGAAGACCTCGCACGTGGGCGGGACGCTCGGGTACATGGCGCCGGAGTACGTGATGAAGGGAGAATTGTCGGAGAAGATCGACGTGTACGCTTTCGGCGTGATCCTTCTGGAGCTGCTTACGGGGCGAAAGGCGGCCACGGAGGCGCCCTTGGGCAACGGGGCGTGGCAGCCGCTAGCGGACTGGGCAAGGCTGTTCTTGCGAAGCGACTTTGTTGCTGGTGGAGGGATGCCGCATGCAATTCTGGACTCTTGCTTGCGTGACGAGGTGGCGGGGCGCCCATTCCAGCAGATGACGATGGAGACACTGCGTTTAGCGAGCCGCTGCTTGATGATGGAGCCTGATGCGAGGCCAACGATGACCGAGCTAGCGGGGAAGCTTGGGGATCTGTTGACAGAGGCTCAAGTCAATATAAGGAGGGTATGAGCGTCTGGCGCAGACCACATGGACAGATGCCTCTTCAGCGGATGGAGAGGGGACTGCAGCGGAGATGCTGAAAACTGTGGGCAAACGGGGGAAGAGAATAGGTAGCAGAAGGACTTGTAATGGTTGATTGGAAGAGGAAGTAGAGAGCCTTGGGGACTAATTACTAGTTACGACTATTAATTAATGTTATAACGAAGGTTAACGGATGCGTTTGTTAAATAGTGCCTGCCTGGAGGTTCGATTGCGCCCCGGGGGAGGGGGGGGAGAGAGAGAGAGAGAGAGAGAGAGAGAGAGAGAGAGAGAGAGAGAGAGAGAGAGAGAGAGAGAGAGGTGCTGGAGTAGATTGATTGATTGAGGTGTTAATAATTTCGTGATAGCAGACATTGATACTGTAGGGAATATACTCGTAGGATATCCTCGGACAAAAAGGTGTGGAGGGCAAAGAAGGTGATAGCAGAACAGGAATTGTCGCCTCGATCGACCAACAACTCGATCTGCTTACGTAGCTCTCTCTTTTTTTTATTTGTCACGTTAGCAAAGGTTTGTCGGGACATTACTGAGCAAATAATCCCATGTGCTGGCCGATCTTCGAAGAATCCATGGCGACGGCGTGGTTGGCGTAGGTGGGGGGATTGGATGTGAACCCACGTGGTCGATCAGAGTCTCCTTAGGAAGGACACTTTGCTGGACAGCCACGGAGAATTTTGTCGCTCGCTCGCTAAAACAGAAGGAGGATACTGTGGTTTTGAAAAAGTCGAACGTTATTAAAAAAAAAAAAAAAAAAAAAAAAGTCGAACGTTTTTCGCTTTCGTAGCAGAATGTTGTTCATAGCAACCATTTACTGTATTTCCTCCTTTTACTTGTGTTTTTTTTATTAGTTCGTAGCAGAATGTTGTTCATAGCAACCATTTACTGTATTTCCTCCTTTTACTTGTGTTTTTTTTATTAGGCTTTCTTTTGGGGAAACGTTATAAAACCTCCCCGCGACTTGGGGGCTTTATAACTAGGGGGCTTTATAACTTTTTTTTTTTTTTTTTTTCCTCTTTAATTCGATCCACACCACCATGCCCCCGTAAAGCTCGGGCTACAGGACGACGCAACTCATCCCGGCGCTTTATAACTTTTCCCTTTCTTTTGTGATAGAATTATGTCTCCCATAGCAACCGTTTGATTTCGTTTTACAAGGTTTTTTTTTTGTTTTGTTTTTTAATAATTACAAGGGGGGTTTGTCACTTCTTTTTCTGTCAGTTTTTGATTAGGCCTGAGAGAGAATCGTGATCCTGCTCTAGGAAATTCTGCTTATCTTCCCGCCTTTTTTTAGGGGGGGGGGGAAATTGGACCGCAGCTTACCGCCAATTTCTTCCCGCCTTTTATTTTACTTGTGTTTTTTGTCACATTTCTTTTCTTTTCTTTTTTGTCTTTTTCTTGCGCTGGGTCCAAGCCAACCTTCTTTGTGTAGTTCCAATTTTAACGGATGTCACCAAGGACATACATTTACCGCCAATTTCTTCCCGCCTTTCTTCCCGAAATTTCGTCCTCTGATTACTGCCAATTTTTTCCCGCCTTTCTTCTGGAAACTTTGACCGCTACTTACCGCTAATTTCTTCCCGCCTCTCTTCTCGGACTTCTCCGAAAATTGACCGCTGAATCCTGCCTTTTTTTTTTTTTTCGCTGCCAATTTTTCGTTCCCGCCTCTCTTCTCAGAAATATTACGCTCAATTACCGCCACATTCTTCCCGCCAATTTCCTCCCGCCTATGTCTTGCCGCCTTCTTCCCTCCTTTATTTTCAGAAATTTGATCGTTGATTACTGCCCATTGAAGGGGTTTACGAGACCCTGACCTACATTTTACCCACCCCCTTATTCTTGATGGCGCCTGCGTAGGGGTTTGGAAATCTCCGATCATTGACTAGTATTAATAAAACTAAAGCTTGGTGTGTCATAAGCTCCGGGACATTCAGAACCCCCGAGAGCCTATCCAGCAGGGCTCGAACTCTCTGCATCTGTTAATCAACAACTTTATCGATGTACTATTCACTGTATTCGGCCCGGGGGGAAAAGGCTCGACGTACTCGGGTTCTCTGAGTCTACTATGGAGAAGGGAGAAGTCAGGCAAGTAGTCTACCTGCCCCCGAATCTTTGACGCTAAACCCGATTTTTGTTTTTAATTCGCTACTGGTCCACCTACACTCACTTTGCCAGCCGCTGTTTTTTTTTTGCGTTTTTTTCCTTTTTTTTTTCCAGCAAAGGGCAACGGTCTTTTCAGATATCGTCATTTGAAATGACCAGACCTAGGTAATTCAAATTTGCAAAATTTTACTCATCTGCTTCATCTGCTTCATCTGCTTTGAGCGGAAGTAGAACTCAGGTCGGAGTCTGTATTTTACCAGTTCGGGGGTGTACCAACTGAGCAAGACCAGTTAGTGGATGGCTGTTGTACGCATATGGGATTAGAAAGTGTCATAGATCGAGGTCGGGTATGGCATGCTCGGGGCCAAGTCTCTGTAGAGTTTCGTCAATGCCTGAATGTGGACGTGTTTGCGGAGATGTGCGGTTGAGGAAACTCAACCCGATTTCTGCACATCTCCACAAACACGTCCAGATTCAGGCGTTGAGGAATCAATCAATCAATCAATCAATCAATCAATCAATCAAAAAATAATCAATCAATTGATATTTATTTATTTATTTATTTTTTATTTTTTTTTGTCACACATCACCCCCCCCCCCCCCAATTTCTGTTGGTTTTTTTTTCTTTGTATAGGCCGACAGTGGCCGACATGCGCAGGCCAAGCGAGTGCGCCTATTTCGAGCGCCCCGCCTGGGCGTGGTGCTGCTGCGCAGACTCGGCCGCGGGCCCGCGGCAGGCCTCCTCGGCCTCGGCCTCGACCGCAGGATGCGCGGCCGACAGTGTCACGTAGGGTCAAAGTGCTGTACGCTGACGCAACCGGCAGAGTGCAGATCAACAGGATCCTCTCGAAAACTTACCCCATCTCCAGGTCTGTACGACAAGGTGACCCCCTAGCTCTACCCATCTTTCTCTTCATTATGGACACTATAGCTTCCTTCCTCCGCAAACACCCGTCCATTGATCGGCTTACCGAACGGAACTTCAACCCTCTTCACAACTTCGCCCTACCCACCGCTCTGATGTTCGCAGACGATCTCACTGTCCTAATCCGTGCCAACGACAGTTCCTTCCAAGCCCTCACGAGGGCTATGGAGGCTTTCCGTCTTGCGTCTGAAATGAAGGTCAATTGGAGCAAGACCGAAGGATGGTGGGTCGCAGACGAGATGGCCCCCCAACCGGAGGGCACAACCACACCCATGTCGTGGTCCACAGGCGTACAAACACTTAGATACGTAGGCATAGGCATCATGGTCAACAGGGATGGGGTGTGGCCGGGGATGGGCCACGGCTTAATTGCCAAGGCTATAACCCGCCTGGCCCCGTGCAAGAACGCGTAGGCATCGCTGTTCGGGAGGGCAGTAATTATAAACACAACCATCTTCTCCACACTATGGTACATTGCATCCATCTGGTCTGCCCCGGACGTCGATTTCCAAACCATAAAGGCAAGATCAAGATGCTATCTATGGATGGGGGATCCCAACCGGACCTCATGCATCAATAGGGTAGCTTGGATCCACATCATTAGGAAAGTGCAGGAGGGAGGCCTAAGCCTAATTGATCCCAAGCACGGGGCAACAACACACAGATGAAATGGGTCATTAAGATCCTGACCAGACAATACCTACCATGGACCAAGATGGCTCTTGACAGCATAAGAAACCTAGCACCGATAAGCTTCCAACCAAACATGAGCGGCTAGTTCTGGATTATGGCAAAGGAGTGGACATTGGACAATAACATCAGGCAGATCCCGCAGATCACCACACTAAACTCAGACAACCAGACAACCCCACCACCCAATCCGTACTCGACCCCGTCTCTGAAGGCCTGACGGCGTATGAGGCCAGGCAGACATGGCAGAACAGAAACCAAAGAGGAGGTCCTGTGACAACCGCTGTTTTGCGATGAGTGGATTAAGGAACCCTAGGGTTGCCCTTGGTCACTAAGAAGTAAGGACTGAAGATGGCTGTCGTGGGTTGAAAAAGGGGTGTGGCAGGTTGCGCACCTGTGGGCAGAAGAACGGGCAGAATGGCGGGTGGAACAAGAACTCCGAAACACTCTAAAAGGTTGTCACGCTCTCGCAGAAAACCTACTCACAATCCAGAAGAGCATCCCACCCCATTGGATTCACCTCTTGAAGGAGGACTTCTCCTGGAAACCAGAGGACTGGGGTATACTCGTCTCCCAAACTTCACCAAACAGAGCATACCGGTTTGTATCCCGCACGTCAACCACCGGCCACCGCTCCAAATTCTACTCCTACCCTATTGCCAACCAAAACCTTCAGGAACTAGCCATCCTTAACATAGAACCTCAGCTAGAGACGATAGAGTCCTTCCTACTGAGAAAAGTGAGGGTGTCAAAAACCAAACCATGGGTAATCTTCCAGGCCGACCTCAGCATCACAGAGCTCGAATTTGACCCAAAGGAGTGGGTCTGGAAACAAAGCAAATCTGGAAAAAACAGGACGACATGGGAATACGACGTGAAATTCGGGTACAATGTAGGCCTAAAGACCACGGATCCCAACCCCAAACTCGAAAACAGATGGAGAGAGACAATGAACCTAGAGCCAACAGTCTCAATGTCCATCCCCTGGACAAAACCTCCCCATAAGACCAGCTAGAATCCGTAGCTTACAGTGGCTCCTAGCCCACGCAGCACTCCCTGTCAACCAGTGGCTCCACAAAAGAAGAAAACACTCAGACCCCAACAGCTCGGAACTATGCGTTATGTGCGAGCTCAGCGTCCCTGAAGACATCCCCCACTGCCTCCTATACTGCAGCCAGGCAGCCTCGATATGGAACAAAGTCCGAAACTTATGGCACCACCTCTTCTCATCCTCTCCCCCCAACCTCACCCCCCCAAACATCTTACTTCTTGCTAACATCCTCGACAGTCTCAGAGGCGGAGAAGCAGTCTGGTTCCACATGCTCAGGAAACTAGCTTTGTGGGTCATACGGAAAAGGAGATGCACCAAGACAATCGAGGGCTCAGAGGTGGCCAAGGAGGAAATGTGGGTCCTCCTGTTGAGGATGGT